AAGATCGTTGTTGCACCAAAGGCAATAGTGGAATCTCTCGCGTGCCTTGAAGGCAGACTCGGAGATGCCATACTGGGTCCATGGGCCTGTCTGAGTTGCTGCATCGAGCCCGGGGCTAGAAACGGTGTGTGTCTTCGTCTTGCCGCGTCCTCGACCTCTGCCGGGGTGGCCACCTTCCCGGGCTGCTGCGAATCTGTCCCCTTCACGGGCAGACACAGCCTCGCTGGTTTGGCCTTACGGCGCTGCCACTGCGACCACGGCCACTCTTGGCCGATGCTGGTCCCCGCTCAGGCCTGATGCAGATGAACGGAGGTTCTTGGCCACCTTGTTCGTGACGATGATCTGCGCCGCCTTGTCGAATAATTCCGCCGTCGTCACCAAGGTGTCCTCGACATGCGTCAGGCCATTGCTCAATGCCGGACATGACCTTGAGATGAAGTAGTGGCGGATGGCCTTGGAGCCCATCTGGATGTCTGGGACTGACGTCAAGCGTTGGTACTCGGCGATCCAGTCCGTACTCGGCAGCGTGCCTTGCTCGAAAATCATGAGCTTGTCCATGGCCTTGATCTTTGGCGGCTCCACCTGGAACCGCTTGTGCCACGCCGCCTTCAGATCATCCCAACTGATCATGGTGTGCAAGTCCGCTGCTACCACTCCGTACTTGGACAAGAGGTTGTCCAACCAAGCCTGGCACGTGCCCCCTGAGCGAGAGTACAAGTAGGCGTGATGCTTGTGTTCCTTGACGTTGGACAGCTGCAGCGTGAGCTCGAACTTGCGGAACCATGGAATCGGATCTGTCTTCGTTGAATTGCAGAAGATCTCCTGCCCGTCAAACTTTGGAGTTGTCTCGTGCGGCTCCGTACTCGAGGTAGTGGATGTGGTACAGACCCGTTGCTGCAACAGTTGCATCGCGGTGAGCTGTAACTGTGCGCCATCCTGGAGTGAGCCGACATGCATCTCCAATGGATTGAGGTGGTTGGCAGTATTAGAAGAGCCTGCGTCGGCGACGGCAACTGGTCGCTGCTCCAACCGCTGAAGGCAGTTTTGCATGTGAGCTAGCGAGGTGTCGAGGCAAGGATCTCCACCTGCTGTGTAATGCAGGTGGCCAAGAGATCCGTGAGATGAGAGAGGAGGAGCGCTATCTTGTTTGCGCTGTCCTCCAATTGGTTGTTCTCGGCCTCGGTCCGCCATGCCGCTGCCATGGTAAGTAACGCCCGCTCTCCGGTGAATATCTTCTCATGACGCTGTACTCTTTCTTCATTGGCAGCCCTTGCTGCTGCCTCGTCATGCTGGCGATGTTGTTCAAGTGACAGCAGACGTGCCTGCTCGGCATCTTCTGCCTTCTTCTTCGCTGCTGCTGCAGCGTCATCTGCCCGTTTCTTAGTCTCAGTACTCCAGGCCAGCATGCGGGCCTGATAGGCCTCATCCGCTTCGTCGGGCCTCTGGTCCATGACTACTGTTTGAGATCTCAACAGCATAGACCGGCCGAGGCCTGTTTCCTCTGCTACTGACGTGGCACTGATGACGTGTCCTGATGACGTGGCATGCTGACGTAGCCTGCTGATGTGGCCTGCTGACGTGGCCTGCTGACGTACTGACGTAGTCTGCTGACGTGGCCTGCTGACGTGGCAACTCACCAATGCCGCCGCAGGGGATACTCGGATTCAAATAGAAACGGAAAGGCGAGAGATGGCAACAACGTAGGTGGGGAGGGGTGGGTGGGATAATCGCTTAACTCACAGTTAGATAAGGAGCCAGTAATCAAAATAGAAAAGTTTGAACTTTGCAAAAAAAAAAATCAAGAAAAATAAAAATCCCGATTTTTGCAAATTCGGTAGGTCCTTCAACCTCCTTGAAGTCGAAATGATCACTGAAAACGAAGAAAATTTTCGACTTTAGACTGCGAATGAAGTATCAAACTGAATGACAGAATCCGATAACTGCGAAAAAAATTCCGAACAGAAATGACACGTATTGGGATTTATTCCGATTCGTAGTTTGCAAAATAATAACGCAAGAGAGATTTCCAGTACTATTTTCAGGAAACGAATTCCAGAAAAGACAATATTCCGAATTTCTAAGTATCGCGAAATGCGACAGGAAATCGAAACTTTCGAAAAGAAAAATATTCTGGATTTTCAACAGCGAGATTTCGAATTTTCATAAGAGAAACGAAAATGCGAATTTCAGATGTTGCGATATTGCGATTTTCCTACAACAGAGAAAAATAAAATCCGAGAACATAATTTTTTTTTCGATTTTCCGTAGTAAGGTCAAGATCGTGTTTTGGGGTCTAACTAGATGTCCTAATCAATCAGTAAAGACTAACTAGCTTTGTAGTCCCTGCACACGTGTCAGATCAGGTTTGTCCTGATTCACGTGCAAAACTCCGATACTAACAGTTACATGCACAGATATGCAATGTACGTAATAACCGAGGAACTGCAATGTGATGAAAAGGACTGAAATGGACAATGCGGTACGAGTACAATCTCGACAGACAATGTGCATTCTCATACATACAAAAGTGTTAAATAGAGCAGGGAAGACTTTGATACAAAGAATGACCTGACAGGAACTAACCTCATTCACGTAGTTCAGAGAAGCGAAGCAGAATGCTAGAGTGCTACTAACTAGCCCAATCAATATTTGAACTCAGACTAAACATGCATTATATCCATCACTAGGTGTGAAGGATCCCGGCGCTCTACACAGCAAGAGAGCGCCAGGTCCAGACATACACAAACGAAGAGGTAAGGATCAGACGAAAGGAGGGAGAAAGATGGGAATGTAACACCAAGTCTTGGTCACCAATCCCAAATAACCCCTCGTTGCCATGTCTGAAGTCCCAAATGTCGAGTCTGGATCTGATGTCACCAAGCTCAGTATCCCTTCTCTCATAGTGTGCAGATGCAGTGAAGTCAGAAGTTGAGAGGGAGAGAAGAGATGGTGGACTGAGAAGAGGCTATAGGTAGGTACCTTTGGCCTCCGCCCAAGCTCTCTCTCTCTCTCTAGCACTACCTAGCTATGGCGCCCAGCGCTGGAGACTACAGCTACCTACTGCGCCCAACGCTGAAGACTACAAGCTAACGCTACTACTCTACAATGCCGCGCTCCCTCCAGAGTGCTGCTCCCGAATCCTGAAGACTACAACTGCCGACTGCCCACCTCGGAAGTGCCTAGGAAGTCCTATGTACTACCTCGGCCTGCCTCCTGACTACTGGAGGCGAGTCAGGCCGAGGAGGCAGCTCTTGCCAATGCTGAAATGTGTCAGGGGATGGCGTGCAGCAGCCTGCTTGAGGCTGGCATGGGAAACAKACWAWTAATAGWCTGTTCCCGAAACCGTGGTTCGGTGCCWGAGTTTCAGGGCCGGTCGTTCTGATGAACGACCGAAAATGGCCCTTCGTTTCAGGCTAAAAAGGCTGTTGCCATTTTTAGKCTGAAACGACACAGRGACAGGCCCTGGAATTCAGGCTTTCGGCCTGAACCAACAGGGYGCCTGTAAGCCCTGGATTTCAGGCTTTCGGCATGAAATTCAGGCTCTCGGCCTGAACTTCAGGCTTTTGGCCTGAAGGACGCAGGCCTGCAAAATGGCCTGCGTGTGCACGCGCGCAGCATGTAACACCGTGTCTAGAGAGCAGCATTGCACCAATAATACACCAATGGAGGTTCATAGCACTGAAAACCAATGTCCATGGAGAGCATACTCTCTCCTCTCAACACAAGAGTCCAGTTCCTTYACACTCACACTTGGGGCYCAGCGCCCAGATACTCCTACACAGCTACTAYAGACTACAAAAAGACAATGCAACTGTTGACATCAGCAGCAGCCCGAAGTACTTGAAGATGCCGCCCATGCAGACYATCGCCAATACAAGGTACGTGCCCTCACATCATCATCATCATCRTCATCCTTCACCTATCCCCTGACTTCACCCACACCTGTCCTCTCTGTCACCCGAAGGCCACCCTTGCGCCTCACTGTAGTCCAAGCCCACCAGCTATGGTGGCTGGACTATGGCGCTGGCCTCAGCAGCGCCCTCTTCCTCTGCACGACCGCACATGCTGCACCTCGCCTCTCAGCGCCAGCCAGCAGCCGTGAGCCTTTGCTCCAGCAGCGCTGCCGCTAGGCATGCGAGTGCCTGAATGAGGCGGCCTGGCCAGAGCTCTTTCCTTTATGGAAAGAGCTGGGCTGCCCTCGCAGCCTGGCTGGGCTGGCCTGGGCCCAGAAGCTTCCGGAAGGCCCCAGGAGGCTGCCTGGATGCAGCAGCTACTGGGCTGCTGGGCCTCGTTCGGTTGGGCGCCCAACTGTCTCTGTATGAGGCTGCGAATCACGCCGAGGGCCTGCATTCTTTGGAAAAGCCCGGAGGCCGAGGAAATGTCTGGGTTGCTCGGCCTGTGTTTCTCTCAACCAACTAGCGCTTCGCAACTGCCTGGACCCCAAATATGAAATTGACMGTCGAGRRCCTTTTGCAAGAAGCCCGGCCCACTTAGGGCGGGCACCTCCGCCTTCACTTAGGGCGGGTAGTGCTGCTAACAGGGCCCCGTAGGTCTACAGAGGACCCTGATCCTCGCATAAAAGTTGCCCCCACCCCCGTCTGTCATATGGACCCACTTGCACACAGCCAAAATGCAAAGAGGCAAAGAAAAGAGGAAGGCAACAGCCAAAATATAACAAAACAGKGGTGAAAAAAACAAACATAAACAAATCCTAGAACACCACAAGTCCCGACGCATGCAAGCACCGCCCCCTCCCCTTCCGTCAGAGGCCAAAGGACAGGACAAGCAAGACCAACCAGGATATCAATCAACACCCTTTCTGCCTGCAAACAAACAAACAATCAATCAATCCCAGATAACAAACCCCAAGCTTTCTGCTGCTTCCCTGGGGTCKASTCCCACCTTCGGTTGTTGAGTTCAGAAAACTCAACAGTGTGACGCCATTTCGACATTAAAATATTCGAAACAAGAARTGAAAAAACTGAAAAAAATGCTAGAAAGAGCTTTTCTCCTTATTTTTTATAACGTAACTCCGAGAAATGAAACATGTCTGGAACAGTCGGAGTGAACGTCTCCGTGAAAAAAGGATACTCCCCGTGGTGAGGGGACAGGAGGTCACCATTTGTAAAATGGACAGGGACGACRTGGATGGCAAAATGCATTCATTGCCCAAAGAAGGAAACGAGTTTGATGCCAGACAGCCAAACACAGCTGTCAGAGTTCCTCCGTTTCAGRATGCAATGAGGCTGTCGAAACCCGGGTTTTCGACAATTTTGCATCGCCACACAGACTTTCGAAAAATTGCAGYTCAAAAAACTTTCGACAGGTGTCAGAATGGTCCTTTCGACAGTCGCCCTCCAGCAACTATTTCCTCCCGCCTGTAGGTGATGGAAATTCGACAAYGGCCGATCGGGCTGTCCAAAATTGCKTTCGAATTTGCTTTGTCAGAGACTGCTTCCTGACAGCCGTGGCCTGTTTGTCCGCATGTGGTCAACAGTTGCTGTCGAAAATGGCGTCCGCATCTGGTCCGCTTGGGCGCACAAATTCWWCCATCTAACAACTCCCCACAGGCGATTGCCTTCGCCACACAGCACCTGTCGAAAGGCGGCATCGACTTGCCTACTTTCGACAATTTCGCCTCTCGACAGGCTGTGTGGCGATAGCGGGCAAAATTGTCAAGAGCCCGGCTGTCGAAAAACTATTGACACCTGTCAAAAATTTTCTACATTCGACAGCCTGTGTGGCGAGCCTCTAAATCGAGAAATCGTCCAATTTTTTTATTAAAAAAAAAAATAAAATTCACCGCCACGGACACCCTCCACCACAAGCCGAACAACGGGACGAGACCAACCGGGATCCCGCTGATGAAGCCGCTTCTGGCAGGTGGGCGRAAAAACTACCGTCGCTCGAAGAAACCAGCTCGCCGTGGCTGGGTATAGCTCTGTATTCCTTAGCAAAAGAATGGCTGTTGAGCCGGGAGGAAGATGTGTTGGCCTGTTTATTAATAAAGTCATATATTAGGAAAAGGCCAAAGTCTGTATTCTGGAAGAATATCCTTTTTGCTTGGTATAAACTGTTTCCAACGGAAAGATTGCATCCCAYCACGAAGGACTYAGTGTTGAATCAAATTTTATTTGAGAACCCTATGATTGTAGACAGGACAGGACAGGAATTCTCAGCTCATGATTCACCTGGTCGGT